TAGATGGAACTGCTGCTTCCTACAGATGGAAGAATTAATTGCTGTTTAAAAATAAAAAGAAAAAAAAAACAATACAAAGAATATATTTTTTTGTTAAAGCCAGGCGGTTAAAATATCTGGTCTCTTTTGTGGGTTTTTTTGGTTTTTATTTTTTTTGTTGCTGTTGACTCATACCTTTTTTTTAACGGGGAAAACAAGTTCATTATATTCATATTTTTTATTTGTATTTTCAAGACTTTAAACATTTGCGTTTAAAAGAAGAAAAAAAAAAATAATATTCAGAAACTGTTTCCTGAAATAATGCAACATTATAGCGTATCCCGGTAACTTTGACACATGGCGGGAAGATTTTTGTTTTCTATAGTGAACTCTGCAGGCGTTTGAAGTATTACCCCTGGGAAGATAGGAATTGACTCTTGCACACATTGGCCAACGCCAAAATCCTTGTCTTGCAGATGTAGAAATTGTTGCTTTGTTTCTCTGATAAAACTGGTCTTAGATGAAATAGGGATGATCACTCTTAGGCCGTGCTGATCTGGATAGAGAAGAAACATTCTTTTCTTTCTTTCTTCTGTGTGAAACTTGAAACGAGGAAAGCAATTCTAGTGTAAATCATGCAAGCGCTATAATTACTATAAATAAGAAAATCCAAGAAGATTCAATCACTGTATAGAATGGTAAAAAGAAAAAAAAAACTCATTTCTTACTTATAATATCATATTGTTAAATAAACTGTGTGCAACAGACAAAAAGGGTGGTCCTTCTTGAATCCATGTACATGGTATTAACACTTAGTGTTTGGGTTTTTTGTTATGAAAATGCTGTTTTCAACATTGTATTTGGACTATGCATGTCTTTTTTCCATTGTATATAAAGTATTGCTTAAAATTGATATAAATTACTGAAGTTTTTAACATGTATTCTGTTCTTTAAAATCCATGTAAGAATGTTTAAGGTTTTTATTTATTTATATATTTTTTTTTTTGGATCATGTTCTTTGTAAGACATAGCTATGACGATTCACTCATGACCCGGAGCAGCCAGAGGCAGCGGTAGGAGTGGCACGATCCATGGATATTGTAGGTAGCAATGTCTGTTTTACAACACCTTTAGTGATTGTTTCCTTTTCGGGGAGGGAGAGGAGAGGGGAATGGTTCCCAGCCATCGACTCTTTGCAGGTGTTCATCCATAAGGGTTAACTGGAATAAATTATTAATAGCCGTTGCTTTTTAAAAACTGCATTAATTTAGAGAAGGATCACCAATGAAAGGAAAATAGAGAGTATTGAGTTAATTCTAGGCTAATTTATTTAGTCTACAGTAAAATATGAACCTATTGACTTTAACACTATTTTTCTGCTGTTAACTCTGAGTCTAGATTTGAGGGTTTTCTGTGGAATAAAAAATAACAAATCATGTACATGTTCCCTTTAATATCCTGTCACATGCCCTCATGTCCCTGGGATAGTCACCCCTCCTCCCCTCAATGAATTGCTCTCTTGGAGTTAAAACGTCCAGGGAAGCTTTCCCAGCGTAGGTGTGAGCTCAGACCACGCCGAGTAACCGCCATCCCTCAGACCTCGAGGCTCCTCCATTCCATGCGCCTGGCATGGGATTTGCAGCGATTCCAGCAGGGAATCCCGCCCGGCAGCGGGAGCACCAGGCACACGTGGCTTTTCACATCCAGTTAGTGCTTCCTCCAGCCTTAATGTTTTTCTTGGAGCGCTGTCGGGGGAGGATGGGGGGGAGAAGAGCAAGTATTTATCTCAACTTTTATCCCCGTACTGTGAAAACAGCGCCCGGCGGCGCCTTTTTAACTGGAGAGGGTCTCTGCTTCAACTTTTCTTGCAAACTTTTAACTATTGTACCTTTTTCACCACCATCGGATTCATCTGCCCACGCAATTGTCTTCAGCAATTCAAGATGTCAAAATTTGGGGCTGGGGTGAGGTCAGTGAACACTAACCCAAAGCTTGTCCAAAAGAAATTGCTGTAAAAAAAAAAAAGTAAACAGGAAAAAAAAAAAAAAGATGGAAAGCCCTGATGCTGTGTCTCATGCTGTGTACTTAAAAAGAGGAAAAATACTATATTTGTGATCAAAAAGAGGAAACTTGAAATGTGCTGGTGTTTCTAATAAAAGCTGGTAAAACTGCTTGGATTGAAGGATGGTTCCACTTGGCCGGTGCCCGCGAGGATCAGCGGAGCCTGACACCCGAGGTTAAGATAACTGCACTCAATCCCACTAATTCCTCTAAGTAGCCTCCATTTTAAAGGCATCGGCACCGCTTCCGGATTTGGATAAGCCGAGCCCTGGTTGGTGTGGCTCAGGCTGCAGCTCGCTCGGGTGCCCCTTCCTGGGCAAGAGTGGAAAAAAACAACTGATGGGAAGCAAGTACCGGAATATTTTTCAGTACAACCCGAAGTGTGGTGGAGATCACAGAGCCAAGGGATCGGTGTGGATCCAATAACTGGAGCTCTCTGGAGTAGGTGTGTTAGGGAAGAGCAGGGAGAGAAGGGAGGTGCAGAGCTGAAAGCAAACCTGAGCAGGGGCTGGGCTGGGGGTGCAGTCCCTGCAGCCCCAGGGAGGCTTCACTCCAGTCTCCTGTGAGCATTGATAGGAAATTCAGCATGTCTGAAGACTGGATGGGCATGGATTTTTCCAGTCCTTGCCTGTATTTGATGGGGGAGGTACTGGCACTAAGGAACAGCATCCTAGAAACCTGGGATTTTATAAGGCAAGAGTGCACTGGAGCTCGGTGCAGGATCTTCTCCACCGGAGAGGGTGGGCTTCCCCCAGGCGTTAAAGCAGAGGGGAGGAACAGAAGCCAAGCAGGCTGGGACAGTCCCAGTGCAGGGAAGATCAAGCAGCCACTGTGGAGCTGGGGGAGCACTGCAGAGCACACAGGTGTGGGGTGATCTCTCCTTCCCTGTGCTTCTCCACAGTCAGGAATTTAAAATGTGGAGCAGGATGCTGCCAGGGCAGTGGTTGAAGCCAGCTGGTGCCAGCCCCTGGATAATTGAAACGAGCCTGGATAGAGGGAAGGATCTGCACCAGATCCCCTGCAATCCCTCCAGGAGAACACTTCATGGCCAGTGGTCAGAGCACACCCGAGGTGAGGCAGGGGGAAGATCCGGGTGTTTCACAGCAGGTACAAGAGCTCCGTTAAGGTGTCGCTCTCAGGAATGCTGTGGGGTCAGCTGAAGGTAGCAGTGAGCACAGCAGGAGGGAAGCGTTTGACTCAGAAGTCATTTTGGTTTTGGCTGCAGCACAGGGAATCTCCATGAAGGGCTGGAGTTGGTTCCAGGTGGAAATGCAGCTGCTGGAAGGGTGCAGCAGTGGTGCAAAGGCTCATGCTGGGTTTGTTGCACCTAATCCATAAGATCCAGTGCCACACAAAGCCCGCTCTGTGCAAGTGTTTCTTGGATGTGAACCTCCAAAACAACACGTGTAGTCCCAAGGATCACTGCAGACATGAGTGAATTGCACACGGAGCTTTCCAGGGAGCTCCCCTGGGCCTGGGATTACAAAGCTGGCTCTGTTCAGTGGGCACGGTTCCCTGCTGAAGGTTCCTCGGTCTGGAAGTGGTTAGTGCTCCCTGAAAGGAGCCCTGCTCCATCCTTTGTGTTTGGCTGTGGTGTTCAGCAGGGCCGGGCTCTGCCCTCACACACGTTCCAAATTTGGCTCTTGCTGGAGTGGTTCATTTCCGCTCTCACCTGCACCCCTTCCAAAGCCTTTCTCCAGTTCCTCAGCCCTTAAGATCTCAATGATCTATGCTCCAGGAGCCCCGGGAGATGAGGAGTTTCGGAGAAGCAGAAAAATGAGGTGTTTAGCAATTTATCCAGAGTCGAGCAGGGGAGCCCGGCCCAGGTGCAGCACACAGGGGCCTCCTGAGGGCTGCCCCCTGCCCAGCACAGCCCTTCCTTGGCCCTCAGCTCCCTCCGTGGGGGAACTGGGAGAGCCACTGTGCACTGAGCTGTGCACCGAGCTGTGCACCGAGCTGTGCCAGCTCCGACTGCCGAGCTCCTGCCACGGCCTGTCCCTGGAACGGGCTCCCCGGGTCACCAGCGGTGACACACCCGCAGGGCCTCTGTGCGGTTTGTAACCTGCGTCTGGCTCCCTGATCCTACCGAGTCCTCAGAAACACAGACCGGAATTTTTACCATCAAACGGCTTGGAAGTGGCGTCCTGGGCTTGGCATCCAACCTCCTGGCAGAGCCCTGGAAACCTGCCGTGAGGGGACCCGGGCAGGGCCGGGAGGGGACTCAGCCCGAGGGCCGTGAAGGGCAGCCGGGGCCGTGAGGGGACAGAGCCCGAGACCGTGATGGGGGGCACCCAACCTGGGGCCGTGAGGGCACTCGGGCACGGCCATGAGGGGACCCAGGCGGGGCTGTGAGGGGAGTCGGAAGAAGAGACCCGAGGGTGCTCGACCCGGAGGCCATGAGGGGACCCAGGAGGTGCCCTGAAGGTGCTCGGCCCGGGGTCTCTGAGGGCACTAGGGAGGAGCCCTGAGGGTGCCCGGCCCGGGGTCTCTGAGGGCACTAGGGAGGAGCCCTGAGGGTGCCCGGCCCGGGGTCTCGGAGGGCACTAGGGAGGAGCCCTGAGGGTGCCCGGCCCGGGGTCTCGGAGGGCACTAGGGAGGAGCCCTGAGGGTGCCCGGCCCGGTGGTCTCGAAGGGCACTAGGGAGGCCCTGAGGGTGCCCGCCCGGGGTCTCGGAGGGCACTAGGTGAGGAGCCCTGAGGTGCCCGGCCGGGGTCTCGGATGCCGGACTCGGAGGGTCCCTGCAGCGCCGAGCGCGCGCGGCTGAAGGGCCGCAGTGACGCCCATCCTCGCGCCGCCCTGCGCGCGGGGGATGCCTCGCGCCCCGCGGCTCCTTCTCGTAGACGTCATTCTCGGGGCAGCCGCGCGAGGGCAGCGGCGGCCAAGGCGGCGGCCCGGCGGTAGTCGGCGGTGAGGGGGCGCGCGGCTTCTCCCGCCCTGCGGCGCCCTCGGGGCCATAACTCGGGGCCGGCGCCCCACCCGCAGGTGAGCGGGACAGCCGGGGCGGCGTGAGGGGGCGGCCGGTCCTCCTTGGCTCGGCCCGCGGCGCGCCTCCTTCGCCTGCGCCCGAGCCGCGCCCGGCCCCCAGCGGTGTCCTTCGGCAGGGCGCAGGGCCCGAGTCTCACCGGCAAGTGCCACCCGTCGGTCTCGGCTGGTTCCGCCGTGGCCGCTCGGCAGGAATAGACGTGAGAACGCCCAGCGCTCCTTCCTGCGCGAGGGCGAGTTCCTCTGGGAATGTACAGGGAATAGAGCACAGCTCGGGTGCTTCTGATGTCTCGTGTCGGGCAGAGGGCACGGTCAGGGCAACCAGCGTGTCCAGGTTCATGTCCTGGCTCAGACAGGGTTTGTAGCATATCCAAATTAATCTTTTGGCTCACACAGCATGTTCAGGACATGCAGCATGTGCCAGCTCATGTCCTGGTTCACACAGGGTGTGCAGCATGTCCCAGTTCGTCTGCTGGCTCATACAGGGTTGTGGGATGTCCGGGTTTATCTGCTGGCTCATGTAGGCTGTGCAGCACGTTCAGATCGTGTGTGGTGTCCCAGTTCATGTCCCAGCTCATACAGCGTGTTCACATCATGCAGCATGTCCCAATTCCTGCCCCGGCTCATACAGGGTGTCCAGCATGTCCAGGTTTCTCAGCTGGCTCATACAGGCTGGGTAGACTGTTCAGATTGTGTATCATGTCCCAGTTCCTGCCCTGGCTCATACAGGGTGTCCAGCACGTCCATGGGGACCTGGGTGAGGGCAGAAGGCAGCAGTGGGCTGTTCTCTGGCCATGTCAGTACCAGGGGACTTTACATATGAGCCTGAAGGGTTTGCTTGTCCCACTCGAGGTGCAACTCGAGGTTTCACCTCAGACAGCTGGCAGGAGTGAGTGCTAAGAAAATCCAAACTCAGGCCTTGATTGTGGGATGTGCTCTCTTATCAAGGCCATCATGCACAGGCTGGAGTTGTCATTAACTGAGGCACAGTGATGAGCTTCCTCTGTGTCTCCTGCGAGCAGCCCATGCTGTGCTCTGTGTTTCCTTCTCTGTTGTCTGGCCCCTGGTCCAGCTGGTAGGTTGTCACTGTGGTCTGTGGTTTCCCTGTGGGTTATGAAGAAAGAATGTGACAGAGGAAATTGTATGACAAATAAGGTCACTGTCGGGGTCGGATGTCAGATTAATTGTGCCACCGAGAGCCACTTCAGTGTTTCTGGGCAATCCAGCTCTTCCTCCACGGAAATCCCCAGTGGCTTGTTGGTATCTGTGTCTGGGAACAAAGCCATGTGCCTCTGGTGGGTTAGATATACTCCAGCAGAGCCAGAGTTTATTCCTTAACCTGTCAGTCAGGTCCTTCAGGGGAAAAAATAGTGAGCAGAAGCTGTGTGGGGTGGGAATAAAGAGGGAGGAGCAGGAGGTTGTGTCCTTTCAGTTGGATACAGGCTGCAGGGACGGCCGTCCCCTCCCTTTGGCCCTGCAGAACTGGCAGTGTTTGCTCTCACAATGCTGAGGGCTGAAGCTGCTGCAGAGGTTTTTGGGAGATGTGTTGGTGGGAGCAGGTCAGTCAGAGAACCTCTTGTCCCCAGGTTCATGTGGATCTGGTGCCCAGCTAGGGAGCCTTTTTGTCTGATGAGGTCTGAACTGGGAGTGTTTATTGTCTGCACGAGCCTCCCTGGGCCCAGGGCTGCCCTGCACGGAGCTGTTATGGTAATTTCTGCTGACCCAAATTCTCCTCTTTTGTTTTGAGCCACAGACTGCTTTGTGCTGGATTTCCCACCCTAAATCTCTAACTGGCACTGGGCTCAGCTCGCTGCAGTCCTTGTCCAGGAAGAGGCTGTGTTTCCTGGGGGCTGCAGTCCTGTTCCAGGAAGAGGCTGTGTTTCCTGGGGGGCTGGTTGGCTTTGGGAATTGCTGAGGCATCCTGGTGTCTGGATCAAAAGGAGCCCATGGGGATGAGGGTCCTTGTCTTTGCCTTGTGTTCCCCGTGTGCGAGGTGGCTCTGTGGCCATAGGCGCAGGTCACTTGGGATCACGGAGAGCTGGAAGCTGGGGAGTAGTGTGGGTTTCTCCTTCTCTCCTGGTGCAGGTGGGGCAGTGATGGGCATAGAAATGTACATGGGCTGTGATAAAGCTCCACATTTGATTAACTCGTTATCAAAAGACCTGATTTGCCCCAGCACATCACAGCACTCATCTGGGGCAAGAGCCGTTCCTTCTTCATCTCTTGGTCCTTGGAATTTGGGCTCCTTCCAAGTGTCACATAACCTGTTAACTCTGCAGGTACTTTCTCCACAGCTCTTGTGTGCTGATAATTGTGGTTTTATACCCAGAACAGCCACAAGCTTTTCCTGTTCCCGTGCTCCAGGCGAGGACTTGCCGAGAGGCAAATGGTCTGAAGATGCTGCAGCTCGTTGTTTAATGAGCTGTGTCTCTCCCTGGCACTGTTAATTAAGGAGGATAAGACCAAACATTACACAAATCCAAAAGTAACTTCCAAACTGATGGGTGGTGATCTGTCATTGTGCTTTAGAGGTAGGGAGGCAAAAAACATGAATACGTGCAAAATTATAAATAGCTAGAAATAAAATTATAGATAGCTGTGGTTTCTAGAGTCAGCTGGTGTTTATGAGTTGTTATGGTGGCTGTGGGGCTTTGCTGCCTGGATGATAGAAGTGGCCTTAAGGTTACCAGGGAGCTGCTGCTGGTGTGTGTCCTTTCTGGATCCTGGAGTCAGGGAGGGAGCAAAATTCCCTCTTTTATTTCTGCTGGTTGGGAAATGTGTGTGTGTGTATATTTGTACAACTGCAGTATCCTACAGCACCCAGCATAACAGGAGCATGAAATAAGTGCACCCTGGGTAAATATATATAAATATATAAAATATACATAAATATAGGATATAAATATATTATATAAATAAAATATGTAACCCTTGGGCTGCAGGCCCTTCCCCTCTGAAGCTCGACGGGCTGGACAGTGAGTGCTCCCCTGCTTTCCACTGTGGTCACCCAGGCTGTTTTCCTTGCTGCTTTCTCAGATGATCCTAGCAAAGGCAGTTGAATGGAAGTTACAGAACATGTCCTGTGATAATGCAGCAGAGCTGTTTGTGACGCAGAGAGCACAGTTATGTGTGTAGGAGGTGTTCAGATGCATTAAGAACTATTTGTGGGCTCTTTTCTTTAAGGGCAGAATGACTGGGGAGTAATTCAAGCTTCTGGCTGCAGAAGTGGATCTTGATTCAAAGCTTTCTGTGAGGAGGAGGAGAAGGAAGAATGAGGACTGACAGCCTCCTCGATCAGCTCTTGGGGAAGAGGCAGGAGCCAGGAGTGCTGTCAAAGCTCAGGGGTTTGTGTTCTCCTGATCTGGAGAGCCCAACATGAGGGTCTGGAGCAGCAAGACCTGTTCTCAGTGACCACACCAGCTGTAGGACCTGCTGTGGGTGGCAGGAGGTTTGCAGAGCACTTGTGGAGGGAGGTTGAGACTTCCCAAGGTGAGCTTGAGGCTGACAAGGGATGTTGCTGAAAGGGCTGGGATGGAGAGTTCACTTGAGGGCTGTGGCAGGGTGGAGGAAGGTTCAGGAGGGAGCCAAGCTCTCCCAACATGTCAGCTGGCCTGGGGGCAGAACATGGCCAAAGAAGCTGTTTCCAGGGGGGTCACAGGTGCACTTTGGGACTCTCACTGTGGTTTTTGGTTCAGTGTTTTTCCGTGTTTTTGTACCCAGTCATCTAAAGAAAGGACACCTTGAAGATGTAGAGTGTAGGGTTTGCCTCCTTCCCTTACTGGATAAAACAGCCTGCAGGCACAGAGTGAGCTGTAAGAAAAGCCTGGGTTTGTCACTGCTTCCTGCCACTTCTGCTGCTTATCCAGGTTCTCCCTGCTCTGCCCAGGCTGTGCTGGTCCCTTCTCTGCTTCCCAGAGCAGCTCTGTCTGTTTATATTCATGGTAGGGGTGGAGGAGACCAAGTCACTGCCTGCCCCAGGTCAGATCCAAACCCTCCAGGACCCTGCTCTGGCACAGGCCATTCTCCCAACAGTGCAGAGATCACAGCAAGGAAAGGGCTTTGGGCAGAGCTCTGTAGTGCTGAAAATGGTCTTTTTGTGGCCAGATTTGGCTTTGATTCATCCCCTACCTAAAAGAAGACTGTTGGGTTCACCTGGGCACAATGGAAGGAGGAGAATTGGGAATCCCTGACCTTAACAGGTCTGGTGACATTCCCAGCTGGTCCTGTTTTCCCCACTGATTTTGTTGACTCGTGGTTTTGCTGCTGCATGTGCTGCTCGCCCTGGAGCCAGCTTTGTTGGGAGATGTAATCCCTGTGCTTGGACAGTCAAGGGCCAGGTATTTATTGCCAGTTTATGTTTTCACAGGCAGGGATATGGGAGTTGTCTTCAACCTGGCCAGGTAACAGCAATGGAAGCTGCAGACTGCCTCTTCCTTACTGTTTAATTCCTTGGGAAGGCTGCTAATTGTCATCTTCTGGATAGAATTTTAATTCAGAAGAGTAAAGGCAATGCCAGAGGGGAATAGTGGCTTTTGGACTGTGGGGGAACTTCAGTCTTGCTTGCACAGTGTAACTCCCGTGGGATTGCTTAGGTGGGACCTTTAAGGACTGCTCCTGCTGCTGCTGGACTTGTGGTGTGTAGCAAAGTATCTTCACTTGTGTCTTTAGCAAAAGGAGCAGCGTGTTTGCAAAGACAAGCAGTCCATCGTTGGAGCCTCCGGTACGACATTCCCACCAGCAGCATTCCCGCCGTGCGGACATACAGGACATACGGGACATACAGCACATACAGCACCCAGACGGCGGAGAGCAAAGAGGAGGAGCCCCTGCACACCATCATCAGCAACACGGAGAACGTGAAAGGTGGGCACGGACACACAGCTCCTGTGGGGACACTCTTGGGGTGTGTCTGGGATGAGCTGTGGGTGCAGGTGACCCCTCCTCTGGAGGAGGTGCAGATTTGGTCCTCACATCCTTTGAATCTGAACTGCACCATCACCTCCCAGGACTGGGATGTGGAGGTCAGAATGGCCTTTCCTGAGAAACAAGGCCATCAAGGCTGCATCCAGGGGCTTAGCCAGGCTATTGATGGTCGTGTGTGTGTGTGGAGGCTCCACAGCCACTAGAATTGGCTAAAAAGAGATTTTTTTTTTTGTCCCAGGAGCAAGCTGTGCCTGCCCAGGTCATTGCTGTGGATCCTGGAGGTCTAATGAGAATCCTGGCATCAGCCCTTTAGTTAGAGTGAATTGCTTTGCACATCTCCAGGGAGAGGTGCTCTAAAGCAAAGTCACGTGAATTATTCCAGCATAGAAATAATGTCTAAATTCTGTGCCTCCATGGTTTTTCTGGGAGGTACTTTTGAGACTGCAAGGCTCTGGACCCCCCAGTGGGGTTGATGTGCTGCTCCAGCTGCTGCCCACACCCAGGATTCACTCCATCCCTGGGGGATGTAGGTTCTCCCCAGCAAGGCACAGCAGAGGTGACCTGGGACCTGTGGCTTTGCCCATGTTGCCTCAGGGTTCTCTAATGCCTCTTGCAGGAAGGATGCTATTTTTAAGAGGCCAAGGTCTCTCAGCTGAGATTTTTGTGGTGTTACTCTCTCTGAGGAAATGTCTCTTCCTGGGCACAGCTCCCCCCTGCAGAGGTGGCTGTAGGTATGTGCTCGTTGAGGTGCAGAAGCCAAGTGTCTGTTGGCAAAGTTGCCTCAAAGGGGGGTGTAAACAGCACCTTTGTTGTCCTTGTTGGAGGCCACAGCTGCCTGTGTCCCATCCTGCTTCAGGCTGTCACTCCTGGGAAGCTGAAGCACATGGTAAGACTGTGGTTTTGCCTTCCTTCCCGACAGGACCCTGGTGAAGTGCCTTAAAGGTGTGTCTGTGACTCTCACAGAATCATGGAATGGTTTGGGTTGGAAGGGACATTAAAGCTCATCCTGCCATGGGCAGGGACACCTTCCACTAGCCCAGGCTGCTCCAAGCCCCACCCAACCTGGCCTTGAACACTCCCAGGGATGGAGCAGCCACAGCTTCTCTGGGCAACCTCACCACACTTACAGGGAAGGATTTCTTCCCAATATCCCATCTAACTCTGCCCTGTGTGAGTGGGAAGCCAGTGCCCCTTGTCCTGTCACTCCAGACCCTTTCCCAAAGTCCCTCTCCAGCTCTCTTGGAGCCCCTCTAGGCACTGGAAGGGGCTCTGAGGTCTCCCTGGAGCCTTCTCTTCTCCAGGCTGAGCAACCCCAACTCTAACATTTTATTCCAGGTGCAGCTTCTAAACATGAGTTTCAGGCTGAAACAAAGAAACTGCTGGACATTGTTGCCCGTTCCCTGTACTCGGAGAAGGAGGTGAGATACCCACTGTTTGCTGGGAGATTTTCTGTTGGCAAAGCTTTGTCTGTCAAGGGGTACATCTCAAACAGTTGAGCTGGGAGAGTGAACTGCTCTGTTCCAGCAAGTCCTGTGCTGTTCATGTCAGGCTTCCTTGAATGATGTTTTTTTAAGAGACCTTGAAAATGTGTTTTTAAAACAATTTTTAGGTACAGCCAGAGGACTCTGTGAGTCTCAGAGCCTCTGCACTTTCATGCCGAGTTCAGACAAACGGTTCTCCTGGCAGATAATGGGGAAACACAGTCTGGGGAGCTGGGAATTAGTCTGTGGGCAGCCAGTGAGCTCCTGGGTCTCTGGAATTGCCATGCAGGGGACAAGGCCAGGCTGCAGTGGGAGGTTGTGTCTCGTCCCCAGGTGTTTATCCGGGAGCTGATCTCCAATGGCAGCGACGCGCTGGAGAAGCTGCGCCATCGGCTGATGACAGAGGGGAAGGCCTTGCCAGAGATGGAGATCCATCTGCAGACAGACAGTGGAAAGGGAACCATCACTATCCAGGTATGTCCCTTTGGTAACAGGAGAGTGTTGTTCCTTGCTCCTCATATCCCTGGCCTTTGTCCCATGAAGGATCAGTGGAAGCTGAGCAGCAGCACAGTTCCACTGAAGTGTGGTGTCCTCAGCTGGGCTCTGGTTCATGAGACTGTAACCTGAGGGTGTGATGAAAAACCATCAATTTATCTGCTCCTCACTTGTCCCCATAGGAAAATTTACTGCTCCTTCTTTCCCTGTTGGGAACTACCAGTAGCTTTTCTCCCACCCCTGCACTTCCCAGGTCGTGTGTGTGTTTCTCACTAGTGGGTAAGTTGTGAGTCTGGTTTCATCCTGATGTTTGGGGAGGATTTCCCACACCTCCTTAAGTCCAAGGTGTTACCTGGTAGTTTGCAGACCCTCCCTGTCACCTGGGTCATGGGAGGTGCAGGGGTGTTGAGAAGAACCTCCCACTGCTGACTGTCTCTGTCTCCTGCTGCTCAAGGACAGGCCAAGTCCAGCTGATGCTGAGGTTCTGCCTTAAGGTGCAGGTGGGACTGTAGATTTGGGCAGTACCACAGCACTTCCCTGTGCCCAGGCTGTGGTTGTTCCCTACTGGTGACACAGTGCTGACTGGGAGGGGGACAGTCAGTGTGAATGTGGGCCTCAGCATGGGGAGGGGAGTGGAGCTGGGCCTTCTCTCTCTACTTTGGCTGCTCTTGTTTGTGGCTCTGTCCAGGGTGGACAGCTGAGCCTCAGTTTTGGTGTTTTCTTGGCAAAGTTCTTGATGCAAAGAAGGCACACTGGTCACTTTGCTCATGGAGCTGTGTCAGCTGCGGGTGCAGCTGTGGGTGTTCTCAAGAGAGTGGAGGAGAAGGAAGAGAGCAATGAGGGAGTGAAAGCTGACTGAAGCAGGTGCAGGGGGGACATGGCACAGACAAAGCACAGGGGCTGACATTTTTCACGTGGGACAAAGCAGGGGCTGTTAGAGCTGCGGAGTTATTTTATATTTCTGTTTCTCTGCAGAACAAGCGCTGTGGTTGCCATGGGGAAGTTAATGCTCGTCAGTGGGCAACACAATCATCAACCAGAGCTTCTCAAACCGTAGTGCAGGGGCTTTGCTATTCCTCTCACACCTGACTTGCAGTTTCCTGACTCCTGTGTAACACCCCTTGTTTAATGAGCCCTCGCTTAGCCCCAGGCAGGGTGTCACTCCTGCCTTGCTCTTGTCTTTCCCTTTGGAGACCACAGTGGACACAAAGCCTCAGACTCCACTGACACATTCCCTGTGGAAGCTGTCCACTTCTCTGGCAGTCTGGTTGGAGACCTGTTTGCCATCCCAGTTGGATGTGTCAGGGACTGGGCTTTTTATAACCCCCTGCCTGCCTGTGCCCCTCTAATGCCATTAAATGAGTCTTAACTAGGAGGCTTTTAACTGCAGCAGCCCTGGGCTGTGAGGAGCAGCAAGAACAGCACTGCTCCAATCTCTTAATAGCTTTGCCTTCTCCGGAGTGCCGAAAGCTCCTTACCTCCAGTCAGGGGGTTATTTATAACCTCCTGAAGAAGCAAACTGCTTACAATGATTGCTGTGAACGAGCCTCATTCAGAACATCTCCCTACCTTTCAGAAGGCAAAGGTGCAGGAAAACTTGCTGCAATGATTGAGGCAGAGGTGGATCTGTCCCTTAGCTGCTGTGTGTTCTCTGTGTTCACTAGGACCCACCTAAACAGAGGCAGCAGGTCCCTCATATATGACCTGTAGCAGTGATAACTCCTTTTGTTTTTCCTAGAAAGGTCCCACTGTCTCACCCCTGGATCCTTTTCAGATCTTCAGGCTGCTCTTGGCCTCTGAACCTGCTGAATCTCTCCCCTCCCCTTCCAAGCCCTGTAGCATCTCTTTGTGTCTCACAGTTGAGAAAAGGCAGGTCTGTAATGTGTGATGGCCATTACAGGCATGTTCCTGGGGGGATTATGTAGCTCTGGTAAAGGATTACATTCATCTCTGTTCAGTGACTGTTTACTTCTCTGCCAGGACTGAATTCCAATCACAAGCACAGCAAGTCTCAGAATTTTGATACGATGTCCTCATTCGGGGATACCCCATCTAAGCACTGCAGTGTTGTATCTGCTAAAAGGAGTGTGTTCACTGGATTCCACCACCTCTGTCCCTTCACCAAAGTCACGTTGTTTTAGCAAATTCCACTGTTTCCTCCATCCCTTTGCAACCTGCCTCGTGTTTCTAGGACAGCTCCATCTGTAGCAGCCACAGCCTGCAAGGTCAGAGCTCTTAAGAAAATCTATTTGAAAATGTGCAGGGTGTGTTTTCAATGAGGACAGCTCTGCAGAGCTCTGCAGTTCCGCATGCTAAGGCTTTACAGACGTGGTTTTGGACCCTTTGAGGTGGGAACAGAGAACCCTTTACAGATCCCAGGGCCCTGTGAGCACACAGCTCACCTTCAGCAGCTGCAGGGGGTGACAGGCTGTGCTGTAGTGGTGGTAGGGCTGCTCAGTTCTGCTGTGCTCTGTGAGCTCGGGGCTGCAGCCCTGCTCCTTGCTGGTGCTTAATTTAGGGCTAGGACTGTTTAGAGGAAATGGTTTGAAATGTTTACAGAGCTGATGGCTGCTGCTGGGGGAAGGAGGGAGGGAGTGTGACTGCTGCTTTAACATGGGAAAGCAGCGCAGTCGCTGCCAGAGCTTGGGCTGCTCAGTTCCCTTTGCCGGGCTTTCATCTCGCTGTTGCAGTCATCCAAAATCCCTGTCTGTGAAGCCACAAAATAACCAGTTTGCTGTGTTGGGGAGGAGTTAAAATCACTGCAAAATCCACTCCTCCTTGCAACAGCTCCCTGTATCACTGAGCAATCTCTCCTGCCTTACCAGTTACAAACAGCCTGTAAAAAGGACTGGGCTGTCGAGGGGCTCCAGTAAGGATTGGGAAGTTTGAGCTGTAAGGATTGGGATGTTTGGGCTGTAGCAGTTCAGTGCAGATGCACCTGCATGTCCAGCAAAGCTTGGGGCAGGTGGGGAGCAGGTCCCCCTTCCCTGCATGCAGCACTGCAGCATCTGTGTGCCACCTGGGCAGGGGATAGACAGGGGGACTGGGAGGGGTGAATCTGGCTGCACTTTGGCAAGCCTTGGAATTAAGCTTTCAGGAACGTGCCACATTGCAGGGATGGGTTACAGCTTCCAGTGGTTGCATCATCTTCAACAAATAAGCCAGGGAACCAGAAATGCAAACATGTCTCAAATAACCTGCGGCCTAGGGAAGGAAGTGCAGAATCTTTTAGTTCTCTTCATGCCAGAATAAGAGCCTGTCACATTTAAAAATGGGAAGGTCAAAGTGGATGAAATGAAGTACTTTTTCTGGACAGCAAGTATTTAGACCTGGATGGGTGGAGACTGAGACTGGTATTGGAAAGGCAAACTCAGGCTCCCTGCTTTGGACAGCTTCTGTGTACTAGGCCAAGATCACCTTGTGTCCATGTGCATCAGTTTTATTGTGGCTTTTCTTCTGCTGGATGCTGCTGCTGCAGATGCCATATTGGTTCTAAACCAGAACGTTGCTCTAGTGCAGCTGCTGTCCTGGTCTTGTGAATTTTAAGTTTCTTTAATCAAGTTATTTCAGTATCGGGGGGCACACACATTTGGGGATTTTTTTACCTTGTCAGATGGTGAAAGCAGCATGTCCTTATTTTATAATATAGTCAGTGCTCTTCTGATGCCCCGTTGAGGTTTTACTGTGAAATAAACATTTGTTTTGCAACAAAGTGAAATGAAAGACACTGTAGCTCAGCCAGGTACCTCTGACTGGGTGTTCTTTCAGATGCAGCCGTGGCAAAGGCAGCAGTTACTGGTTAGTTAATGGGTTATTTGGTGTAACAAAGCTCTGCAATACTTTAAATTGGACTCAGGTAATGAGCAAAGCTCTTACATTGCCCAGGTTCTTGTTTACCAGCATGGTCTCTGCAAACATCCAGCACTCACACCACAGGGTGAGAACAAAGGGCACAGAAGGCACAAAGGTCCTGTGCAGTTCAGCAGCAGGTTTGGTACCTGGGAGGTCTCCACACATAAAAAGATGCTAAAAGCAACGTTCAGCTGGTGTATCTTTGGGGTTAATGTTACTGAGCCTAGTTCAGCAGCTGTGGCCACAAGCCCTTCATGGTCCCTCAGCAGACGGGGTGAAGGTCTGCAGCCTGTTGTGTTGTCTTGTAGAGAGGATGGTTTGGGGGAAGCTCTTTACTCTGCACCTTAAGAAGTCCCAGAAGGAAAATTCAATCAGGTGAGGAGGTGCAGTAAGAGCAGGACTTCTGTAATTAACCTTCAGCTTACGAAGGGTCAGCTCACTGAACTCTGCATCTTGGTTTCTCCAAGCTGGGGAGAAACGTTTGGCCCTTGGAACTCTGAGCATATCCCTCACATCTTGGGTTTTGTGAAGCCCATGAACAAATTGCTTTGTGCTGTTATCAGTAGCTCTGCTGTGGCTGTTGTCAGCCTGATAAAAGATTTCTTGCAGGTTGAAGGGAGGGCTTGAAACTGTCTGCAGGGGAAGAAAAGTTGTGCTGTTGATGGAGGAGCAGTGGCTGGCTGGTGGTGGGTAGAAGGTGTTTGCAGGTGTTGTGTGATGGGTGGTTCCTGCCTCAGAGGCTGAGCAGTGGCTGGTGCAGCAAAGAACACAGAAGGGCAGTGCAACTCCTGCCAGCTCCTTCCTTGGATTTCATGGAGCTGGAGCTGCCAGTGCTTGTGTTGGCTCAGCCTGAGGCTGTTCATGGGCACGTTCAGCTGATTCTCCATCCCTGGAGAGCTCCTGCTCTGCAGAGCTGAGCTCCCATTTCTCTGCTGCTGCTTCATTCCCCATTCCCCCAAGCTGCACCATGTGGTGAAAGGAGCCCAGAGGGCAGCTGCAGGAAATCTGGGCACGGCAAAGGCGGGTTGGATCTTGATGTCATCTTCATCCAAACTGCCCAGGTGTTCTCCTGCAGTAGGGAATGCCTGCTTTGCCAGGATCTTCACTTCCCACTCTCCCTGTCCATGTCCCAGCCCTGTTGTGGAGTCAGCCTGGTTTGAGTCGTGCTCTCTTTGTTCCTTGCAATTCCCCCTCACCAAACTGGTTTCCAGGAATTGTCATTAAGCATTTTGCAGTAAGTTTGGCAGAGCGTTCAGAATTCAAGAGCCAAATAAATTCATGGGGTAGGGATGTATTTTTTTTTTTAACATGCTGGAATTTGGGAATGACATGCTGTACTATAAATAGGAGTGGATCAGAGGAGTTAAGAGTTCTGTTCAGGGTCTGGCATGAACAAAAACTGAACCAGATGCTGAAAACTGCTCTTTCTGGCTTTTTCTTCCCTGGGGGAAGGGACCATGTCAGATTCCTGAGATTTTGCCATACACTGTTTATTTTTCCTGGCTTTTCATCTCTCACTGTTGAGATCTTACTGGGCATCATCCCTCCTCTCAGCCAAGTGGACTGACTAGCCTTAATGTAATTAATCAAGGGAAAGGTGTTGCTGTGCTGTGACTTGTGGGGATGTAGGAAAATGTCTTACCCTCATGACACCTCACAAGTTGAACAGTTCAATCAATCCTTCATTAAGAAATATGTACTGACATTCATGTACCTTGCTAGAAATAAGCCCAGTAAATGGGTGGCAGAGCTGTGCTGGGCCAGAAGTCACTCTGGTCCCTCACCTCTGAGCCATGGAGCAGCAGCCAGCTCTGCTGCAGCTGGTTTTGCTGACCCTGCACACTGAATCCCAGCCCTGCTTGTGGCACTGGGAATGTGTCAGCCTGCTCCAGATGTGCCAGCTGCTGTCAGCCACGATAACTGTGCTCACAGGTAGAGCTGAGCTCCTCATGGGAGTGAGAATCACCTGTCACTTGGCTAATTTTCATCCTGCTTCCACCTCAGGAGTGGCCCAGAGAACCTGTAAAAGTGGCTTCTCGGGATGTTTCTTGACAGGTGGAGAAGCTGCTGAGATTTGGGAAGGGGAGAGGGCACTGGGTTCTCAGAAGTGGCATCCTGGAGGGCAGTAGCCTGCCCTTTGCTCCTGTGGAAAATGCACGTGGAGCAAGGCTGAAAATACATTGGACAATAGAGTGGGAAAGATTTTTGCTGGGATCCTGTGTGAGGGGGTGGCCACTTCTAGCTGGGGTTTGCTGTTAACCTGTGTTGCCTTGGGGTCCATGCAAATTGAAGCTGCAGCCAGGTCTGAGACTTGCTGCAGCCTTTGCTGGGTGGTGCTGCTGCAGGCTCTGCTGCCTGAGACATGTGAGCCAGCAGCAGGGAGATGTTTATCTGCATGCAGCAATGCAAAGCTGGGATAAACTGAGGATGACAAGGAGCCATGTGCCTCCAAAGCCTGGACAGAGCACCGTGAGGTGTGGCCACTGCACTGGGGTTAACCTGTTCCCATGGGAATGCAATTCCCAGCTCTCTGGTACCTGGATATCGACAGTTTCATATTCGTGGAGCACAGAATGAGGGCGAGAGGAGGGAGGAAAAGACAGAGAGATGGAGATCAGTGCCTGTGGAGTTTGTAGACAAGGGTTTGCACTACCTGAGAGTTCAGGGATTCACTGCTCTGCCACTGATTCCTGGTGTGAGGGCATTGGTTCCACATCTGCCAAATGGAAATAAACTACTTCTCAGTGCTCCTCAACTCCCCTCTGGACCAGTTCAGGATTGGAAGGTGTCTATGCACAGCACCTGGCACGGCAAGGCCATGGCTGGGTGAGATCTCCTTCCTGCCCTGCCATCCTGTGCTTTTTAGAGGGATGTAGAATCCAGCCTGTCATGGTTTTGTCTTTCCTTGAGGAATGGTCAGAGTCTCTGAGCTTCCTGGAGGTTTATATGCAAAGGACAGCTGTGGGTGTCCCCAGAGCTCTGTGCCCTTTGAGTCTGTGTTCCTGACCATGTGCAGGGGGGGTCACAGCTGGAAGTCTGTTGTTGGATTTACTGCTCAGAGGGAAAGGAGAGAGTGGGAGATAGGGGCAGAAGTTTCTGGGGTGCTGTGTGCTAAAGCAATGCTTCCCTACTGTTATTTCAGCTGCAACTGCTGTTTCTTTTCAGGACACAGGTATTGGGATGACCCAGGAGGAGCTGGTTTCTAATCTTGGAACCATTGCTCGATCAGGCTCAAAGGTAACAACACCCTTCTCCCTTCCTTAGAAAACTCAACTCCAATTACAGCCACTTTTGTTCTCCCAGTAATTTCTCATTCCATTTTTTCCCTTGGCCCCCAGCCCAGCTGTGAAATTACACCCTACCTGTGGAGTCTTCTGGCTCTTAATGGTCTCTGCTTGTTTTTCTTTACTGCCAGAGTTGCTCTAAGCAATGCTCCCCTCTTCCAGAAGTGCAGTCCCTTTGGAGAAACCCTTTTCCTTGGGCATCCTCCTCAGAGCACTGATGCAGAAGTGTGGGATGAGGGTGCTGGAATGCCAAGCTGCAGTGCCTGAGGAGCCTGGCTGGGGGATGGATTGCAGCCTCCCAGCGATACCTGAAGTCACTGTGTGCTGGTTCATGTCTCCTTTGCTCCTCCAGGCTTTTCTAGATGCTCTGCAGAGCCAAGCTGAAGCCAGCAGTAAAATCATCGGCCAGTTTGGAGTGGGTTTCTACTCAGCCTTCATGGTGGCTGATAAAGTGGAGGTGTTCTCCCAGTCTGCAGAGCCAGGCAGCCTGGGCTACCACTGGTCTTCCGATGGGTAAGGCTGGAGAAGGGGGTGGCAGCGTGGGGGGGCCTGTGTCCAGACCAGGCACGGACTGAAAACTGTGCAAGGACAGGCTTGTGTGGCCTTTCAGGACCTGGCTGGCTGGTTTAGGTCCTACTCAGGTTATACATGGTAGCAGAGTGTGGCCAAATGTGCCAGGGTGGAAACCCCAAGGACAAACTTGCTGCATCAGAGCCAGGTGTGTTGTGGACAAAGAGAGTACCAGGCAATCAGCTTAGGGGGGCCCCAGGCTGCAGGGACAGATTTAACCTCTTGGGTCTTGTCTTCCCCCGGGGTTTGGCTTGAGGGCACCCACAGTGAGCAGAGCTTGTGCAGTGCTGGGGTCTGTAGGAACATCTTTTCTCTAGGTCAGATCTTTGCGCTCATCCTTTGCTTTTTTTTGTCATGGCAAAGCTGTGGGCTGTGGGACCATGGTGAAATTGGAGCTTCTGCAGGTGACAAGCTCAGCATGCCCTTAAAATCTCCTCAGAATAAAGAATGTACTAAGTTATTTAAATTATTAGGGAACATCTGTTAATGGAGATGTCAGACTCTCTTGGGTTTTCAGTAGCTGGTGTCTTTGCAGAGCAGTGTGTCCTGGGTCTGGCTCTGCAGGGAAAACAGCCACATACAAACAGCCACATGTTTTGGAGGGTTTCTCAGAGCCACGGGGAGCATTCAGGCATCCAAGACTTTTTGCCTTTTCCTCTTGGCACTAAAGTGTTGTGCATGCTCTTAGTTTAATAAACCATTTTTCTGTCCTATCATGGATGTATCTGAGGCACAAGCTGACTCAGGGTTTGTTTCTAATCCTAGTTCAGGAATGTTTGAGATCGCAGAAGCATCTGGGGTCAGGACTGGGACTAAGATTATTATCCATCTCAAAGAAGACTGCAAGGAGTTTGCAAATGAAGACCGAGTGAAGGGTGAGTGGAGGAGGACAATGCTGTTACCCCCAGGGGCTCTTTGGAGGCTGTTGGTGCCCGTGAGTGGGAGGTGATTTTACAGCATTTTTCCTCTCCTGCAGCTCCTTTCACCTGCAGCTACCGAGGGAATTCTTACTGTGTTGTTTTCACAAAGGTGACTCTTCTGTGTCTTCTTTCCATTCCAGAGGTGGTGACGAAATACAGCAACTTCATCAGCTTCCCCCTGTACCTCAATGGGAAAAGAATTAACACGTTGCAGGTGAGCAGGAGGCCACAGGCAGGTCACTCGTGGAGATGAACCACTTTAATCCTCCAGTGGAGGAGACAGGAAACAGGATAAAGCTGCTGCTGTCCCTGGAAATCAGGGGAGGATTGTCCAGCATATCACAGACCTTGTAGTGATCAGTTGATTAGAACAAAAGGAGACAATCCAGCAGAAGTTGTGCCTGGAGCTGCTTGTTTGCATTTATTGTAGAGTATTCTTGCAGATTGGCAAGATCTAGGTCTTCCCTTAACCCGAATTATTATTTCAGTGCTTTATAATGCTTATTTTAACTGTTTAAGCCAGGTGACATGTTAGTGCTGTAGGGATTGCTCATATCACTGGTGTGCTGACACCTCTCCCTGCAGTTCTTTTCCTTCAGCATGGGATAGCCAGTGCCAGGGATGGGTTGGGCTTTTTTAGCAGCTCAGCTCACAACCTGATTTATTCCCCTCTCCTAGCTGAGCACTGCTTGATGCTGGCGTTTTCTGACCACTTAAATGATATTGCAGCCAGATCCATTTTAGTCAGATGTTCTTGGCCCAATTGCAGGCATCACCTGGGAGAAATTAATTATCTTTAAAACAAAAATCGATGAATCGTTTTCCTCCAGCATCTCCTTCTCTGATTGTTTAAAGCTTCCTCCCGTGTAAGACAGCAGGTAGGGAGCATGTGTGTGGCTTCTTTTGTTTCCTGGAATGTGGCACTGACTGAACAAACTTTCAAGACTGTACTTAAACATTTTATCATGTTAATTTATCTAAGATTCTGTAATTGCTGTTATTAGTCACTGATTATTTATTTGGATTCCTGCATAATAGTGTTTCTCTTCCAAAGGCTTTCTAGCTGTGCCCCTTAATTAGACAGCTGTTTGCTCTCTCTACCTGACAATCAATAGAACAGGCTCCCTGGAGAAGAGCAGCAGTAGAGCAAGGGGTGAAATGCCCTTAATAGAGTCATGGACTTTTATCTCCTCATCAGAAAGTCTGTTTTCCCTTGAGATACAGCAACAGCTTTATTCATTATGCTCCCATTTCGTGCCTTTTCCTTATCCAGGATCTTGGCTTTGTGTTTTTCCACACGTCAGTGTCAGTTCACTGCAAACAGAGCCACAGTTAGTTCCCTGGTGGGGATTCTCCTAGATGAGTTCCTGAATGCTTGCCATGTATCTCACAGTATGGAGCTGGAGGCTTTTCCAATCTAACTGGGATAACTGTAGCTACAAGTGAGCCTCTGGGAACACAGCACTTTACCCAACACAGCTGCTGTAAAGCACCTGAGTTCCCAGTGAGTCCCTAATCCTCCCTGTGATCCTGCAAACCCTCCAGGACACTTGTGTGTGCTGGAAATGTTATGAAGCCACCTGTGGAACAAGATTCTGAGGGAGAGGAATCCTTAAGGCAGCAGGGTTAGGCTGCCAGGGCCCTGAATCCCTTGGACTCTGGTAGGTGGAGGGTGGGCTGGATGTTTGTGTTGCCCCCAGAAATCGCTCCTGTCACCCTTGAGGGCTTGGGTGGCACAGAGTGGCAGTGGGTGAGGTGGGCTGGAAACATGAGGTTCTTAGTTGAGTGCCACATCTTTGCTAGAGGGGAGTCTTTTGCTGAGGTGCTGAAAACTGAGATGTGATGTGAGCATGGGCTGAGTGCTCCAGGAAGCGTTGGAGGGGTTAGAGCAGCAGCAGGTGGAAGATGTGGCCATGGGGCAGGGCCTGCTCTGGACCCTGTGGCTTCAACACACATGTTGATATGTGAAACAGTGCGGGAACACTTTGTGACCCTGCAGCAGGGATGGCTCAGTGATTCACAAAGCATCTCCTAAACTGCTCCAGAACAAAGCAGCAGAAAACAGGCAGTGCAGGAGTTCTTCACAGGTTTTCAGCTGGGCTAGTGACCTCCGTCACAGAGGCAGGCTGAGTGCAACAGACTCACTTGAACTTTCACTTTTCCTTTGCTGGCCAGGCCTTGAGATATTTGATCAGTACTGCCAGTCAGCCGAGCTGTGGGATCTGTCCAGGATGCTCTTGGCCATGGGCAAGTGTGAGGCAATGGAGATTAGCCAAATCCCTTTTGTTTTGGGCTACACAAAGCTGCCTTATGTATGCTACAGGGCAAGAGGTACCTCTGAGGTCGGCTGAGGGGCAGTCATTTCTAGTCAGTGCCCCTGGGTTATGCAGAGGAGTCTGTTTGAAAGATCTTATTTCCTTGCTCCATCATCCTGGAGGGAAAGTGCACCTCAAGGAGAGCCCTGTGCTGTGAAGCCATAAGTCTTCAGAGCTGATGGGAAGTCCTCTCCCTGCTGCTCCTCCACAGGCTCTCTGGATGCTGGACCCCAAGGACATTGGAGAGTGGCAGCACGAGGAGTTCTACCGCTTCATAGCGCAGGCGTACGACAAGCCCCGCTACGTCCTGCACTACAGGGCCGACGCTCCCCTCAACATCCGCAGCATCTTCTACGTGCCCGAGCAAGTACGTGTCCTCCTGCCCAGGGAACCTGGGACATCTGCCCAGCTGCTCTGAAAGGGGAGAACAGGAGAACAGGACAGCTCCTCAGGGAAGCTGAGGCTGCAGAATGTCAGGGAGGAAGGAGTATCCCCTGTGGCATCTCTGCGGTGGACTGGGGGCCACAGGGTGGTTGTGGGGATGCTGAGCCACAGGGGAATGGCTCAGGTAGGTCCCCAGGAAAACCAGCCAAGATTTCAGCTCTTGTGGGGTTCAGCACTGTAGGGAAGACCACAGGGTGACCTGGTAGTGTGCAGCTGGGTGCCCTGCACAGTGCTGGCATTACCTCCTGTCTCTTGTTCCTGCAGAAACCATCCATGTTTGACATCAGCAGGGAAATGGGCTCCAGTGTTGCCCTCTACAGCCGCAAAATCCTCATCCAAACCAAAGCTGCAGACATCCTGCCTAAGTGGCTGCGTTTTCTTAGAGGTGTGTACTGGGACCAGGAACAGTGGGCTGTGGCCCATGGCTTCCTGAGGGGTGCATTCCTGAGCCTGGCACTCGTGTCTGCCTCACTGTTCAAGGGTTGCTCTGTGTTGCAGGTGTTGTGGACAGTGAGGATATACCTCTGAACCTCAGCAGGGAGCTCCTGCAGGAGAGTGCCCTTATCAGGTAAGCCAGAGGTAGATCCTGTGGACTGCTGAGGCTCTTTCAGCTTCTTGCTGGCTGAGAAGAGAACATGATGAAATAGTTAGAGGGACTTGGAGGGACCTGGCATGTAAACTGCAGCATCCTTGAGAATTTCTGTAGTCTACAAAGTGAGTTGTTTCTCAGACAGCTGCCATTGTTGGAGTATGAGAGTAGGCTCTTCCTCCTTAACACCAGAGTTTGTTACCTTGTTGGGTTTGATGGCTGACTTTGTATTCTACAGCTGGTGAAGTGCCTCTGCCTTCACTGTAGTCAGCAAATAACGATGTCACTTCACAGTGGATTTTGAGGCCTTCAGAAAGAGTTCCTCCAAGTGTAACCACCCCTGTATAGCCACCCCTGTCCCATGGTTGTGGGAGAGAGGCAGATACCCTGGGCACAGCTGGTTATGTGCTGCAGCACCACCGAGTCACAGGTCATGAGGACTGGAGCTTCAGCAGAACATTTGTACTCAGCTCTGTCTCTCTGCAGCTCAAGAGCTGCTCCTGCCTGAGATCAAAGAATAGGTGTAGAGCTATGAGGGGGAGGAGATGGTGGACCACTACAACCCTGCACAGACAGAGAGACATTCACCTAAAACCTCTTGTCTTGCTCTAGCAGCTGTCTTTAAAAAGACTTGTTCCTGCTGCAGGAAGCTCCGTGATGTTTTGCAGAAGAGGGTGATCAAGTTCTTCATTGACCAGAGCAAGAAGGACCCTGAGAAATATGCCAAATTCTTTGAGGAGTACGGGGTATTCATGAGAGAGGGGATTGTCACAATCGCAGAGCAGGATGTCAAGGTACCAGGAGTCCTGAAGCACCACAGCTGATGGGAAAGACTGCTGGTTCCTACTGTGAGCTGGGATGAGGGGCACTGCTACTTCTCCATGAAACCTGCATGCCTATAACTTGTGTTCCTGGGTCTACCCAGACATACTGATTCTGTAGTGCCCAAACTCTCCTTTTTTCTCACTGGGCGCTGCTTCCCACTTTGAGACCCTGCAGAGTCTCTATATCCACACTGTTGTCACCCCTCCCTGATGCAATATGAACTACAACATGCAAGAAAAGTAGGGCTTTCCCCTCCTGTTGTCCTCTGCCTGCATTCCCATTTTTAGGAGAGTTTGACCTACATCCTGTCTAGGTCACTCTTCTGCCTCCTTAATATCTGGAGCAGGAAAGGAGAGATTCAGAATCCCCTGAGTCTTTTTGCAGAGCTGCAAAAGAGGCCCGTGCGCTCCAACAGGAATTCCTGGGGCTGGGAGCGGTCAGGTGGAGGTCCAGTGAGGTGCCCTGAGCTCACGGGAGCATGTTTCCTGCAGGAGGACATAGCCAAGCTGCTGCGGTACGAGTCGTCGGCGCTGCCCGCGGGGCAGCTGACCGGCCTGGCCGACTACGCCTCGCGCATGAAGGCCGGGAGCAGGAACATCTACTACCTGTGTGCCCCCAACCGCCACCTGGCCGAGCACTCCCCCTACTTCGAGGCCATGAAGAAGAAGGACATGGAGGTGGGTGAGCAGCGGTGCCATGGCCAGGGGAACACCACTGAGCTGCTGCAGCAGTGGTCAGGGCTGGAGCTGAGCAGGGCAGCGAGGCCGGTGATGGAGCTCTGCCAGCGCGGGGCCTTTGCAGGGTGCCTGCTGTCTCTGGTCAGACCATGGTGTGAGGCCAGGAGGGACCTGTCACACACTCTAACCACAATACAGAAAAGACATTAAGCTCTTAGAGAGCATCCAAAGGAGGCCACAAGGATGGTGAAGGGTCTGGAGGGGAAGCCGTATGAGGAGCAGCTGAGGGCGCTTGGTTTGTTCAGCCTGAAGGAGACAGGTCAGACCTCACTGGTGTCTTTGACATCCTCCTGAGGGGCAGCACCAATCTGTTCACTCTCGTGGCCATTGACAGGACTGAAGGAAACAGCATGAAGCTGAGTCAGGAGGTTTAGGTTGGAAATCAGGAAAAGGTTTTTCACCCAGAGGTGGTCGAGCACTGGAACAGGCTCCCGGGGCAGTGGCCACAGCACCAAGCCTGTCTGAGTTCAAGAAGCATTTGGACAATGCTCTCAGGCACATTTGTGGGATTCTTGGGGTGTCCTGTGCAGGGCCAGGAGTTGGACTCCATCATCCTGATGGGTCCTTTCCAACTCAGCATATTCTGTGATTTAGTACTTGTGCAAACATCTAGTTCTGACACCTGTTTCATACCTGTGCTGAATCCCAGAGCAGGAGCCCAGGAGCTGCTGTGCAGGGCTGTAATGGTGTTTCAGGTGACCTCTGTGGGCACGTGCCCCTTTCAGGACTGGGGTCAGTGGTGGTTCTGGACTTGTTCAGGTGCAGACCTGCCACCCATGTTAATAAATCACTCCAAGGGTTTGCTTTCATGGGGGGCCCTGAGTGATAATCACCATGGGGTTGAACCTGTGAGTTTCCCATGTGACGTTCCTGCTGTTTGGTGCAGAGTTGCCTTGGGAAGGAGGGAATGCTGTTACATCCCAAACAATGTGTTGCTGTCCCTTTTTTGGCACAGGTGCTGTTCTGCTATGAGCAGTTTGATGAGCTGACACTGTTGCACCTCCGTGAGTTTGACAAGAAGAAGCTGATCTCTGTGGAGACAGACATTGTTGTTGATCACTATAAGGAAGAGAAGTTTGAGGAGAGCCGCCCAGGTGAGGCTCCCCTGGCCCATCCTGCAGCCACCCTGTGCCACCAGTGAGGGCACACCTCTACCCCTGCTCCTGTAGCTCCTGAGCAAGAGCCCTCCTTTCCACCCTGCCATTCTTGTGCTCTGAGGCAACTTGGAGTTCTTGCAGATCCTTTTCATCCCACATGATCGAAGTTCAAGCAAATTTGAACAGATGGAATGTCGTGTGTGGCGTTGCCATGATTTGATTTTAACCCCACAATGTAAATCTGGTGCCCTGATAGAGGCAGGTAGGCCCTGGCAGGGCATGAACCCGCCCTCCCTGGGTATGGCGTGGTCTGGGATGAGGATATGTAGCTGTGTGCTGAGCAGTGCTGCCTTCCCATTTGCACAGGAGAATTGATAAATGGAAGTGTGAAATGGGCTGAGCTCAGCTCAGCTCACTGTCCACTGCACACTATAGATGCACACTCAGATGTGCCCTCTCTCCCTGCCAGCTGGAGAACGTCTGACAGAGAAGGAGGCTGAGGATCTGATGGCCTGGATGAGGAATGCCTTGGGCTCTCGAGTCACTGGAGTTAAGGTGGATATTCTGTGTTTGGGTGACTGAGTACAGGAGATCCATGGAGGTAGTGATCTGGGGAAAAAAGGTGGTGGTTGCTTGGGGATCTTCTGCCACAGATTTTTCTTTGGGCCCTGAGGGAAGTCGTTCTTCTCCATGCCTCCTGTCTGTAACTGCTGTGGATGAGGGCATTTGTCATTTGGATGGTCAGTGTGGGAGCAGAAGAACCCTATCCTAATGTGTAATGAGCAAAGCCCATGTTCCTAGTTGACGCTCATGTTACCAGTGATGCCTTAAGCCCCTAATGTTTTTTATTTTTCTAATATTGGTAAGCCTTATAAGTTTTATAAGTAGATTTTAAAAGCAGTAACCCTCCCTCCTTTGTCCCTTGTCCCTTTCCCTTTCTCTCTAACGCCCTTGTTTACACATTCCTTAACCCTCTTACCCCATTCTATGCTCCCTATATCACTGAATATAGCAGAAATGTTTAGTCTTTTGTCAAGGCAAGGCCTAGATTGTTGGCAGAACAGCATATCAGGGCCTAAACCACAGAATAGGGTCAAGAATTAGGTAACTATGTGCCCTTTGTGCTCTGATGATGGTGAAGATGGGATGAACAGGGGGTCCCGAAAGCCCCCCGACTCAATTCTCAGGGGGTGGACCCGGGGCAGACCAGAGTAAAGGCCACAGGGTGGACACATCTGGGATTGGATGGATGGTGTTATAAAATGTAACCTCTCAGGCACAGCCGGGCTGGCGTCTTGTAACATCCTTGCCTTGGCAAAATAAACCCTTTCTTATCTCACCCCTAATTAACTGCTCTGGAGATTTTTTTCAGCACCTAACTCCCACAGCAACACCAGAACAGGCTTTTTTGGTAACTTTCTTGCCTGTGGACTAGAAAGGTGTGTTAGCAGGGAGTGCTTTGGGTCTGGCTGCAGTCCACTGCCATTTGGGCCCCCAGCTTTCCTGCTGGTTTGGGCAGTGCCCGTGGGATGGGGGTGAATCATGTGGAGGCTTGGTGTGAGTCTGTGCTGAGGAGACTCCGAGTGCTCAGCCCTTGCCCTCCTGCAGCACATGCACTGTCTGTGCCGCAGGTGACGCCCCGGCTGGACACCCACCCTGCCATGATCACCGTGCTGGAGATGGGCGCTGCCCGCCACTTCCTGCGCATGCAGCAGCTGGCCAAGACCCAGGAGGAGCGAGCCCAGCTCCTGCAGCCCACCCTGGAGATCAACACTGGGTAAGAGGGGACAACACCAGCACTATTAAGTGCAGCTTGTGCTACAGTGCCTTAATCTGTGAGGCTGTGTGGCACCATCGACATGATCCACCCCCACACACAGTGTCCAGCCCTCTGGGGACCAGGGGGGTTATAGGAACAGATGGGAGAGAAGAGAGAAGCCCCCAGAACAGGAGAAAGAAAGTGTCCTTTTGTGACCCACCTTGGCTTAGCTGCTTGTTCGGGAAATAAATTTCTCATTGTTACCAAAATCACCAACTCTCAGCGTTGATCTCTCTCTTTTACAGACATGCTCTGATTAAGAAGCTCAACGAGCTGAAGGACAGTCAGCCTGATCTGGCCCAGATGTTGCTTGACCAGGTGAGAGCCAGACCTTCTCCAGAAGCAGCATCATCCTCCCCAAAGCCAGCTTGCAGACCATGCATGGCAGGGAATGGCATTACAGTGGGCAAGAATCGCATCTTTCCGTGGTCCCTGGGTATTTCCAGGACTTGTGGTCAGTATGTTTCCCTATCACGTGGCCCTGAAGACGTGCCTGGTCTGAGAATGCAAGTCCTGGAGAGTGACATTCCCTTCCTCCCTCATGCAGGTTGCTCTTGCTGCTTATTTAGTGCTTTCTTCTCTTTTTCAGATTTATGAGAATGCCATGATTGCAGCAGGACTGAATGAGGATCCCAGGCCAATGGTGAGCCGGCTGAACGAACTCCTCACCAGAATCCTGGAGAAGAACTGAGCCCCCAAGGACTGAAGGATGAACTCTGTGCTGATCTCTCTTGCCTCAAGTGCAGCCACTCTCTCAGCAGCTACTTGTAGGCAGTGTCCAGTGTGGGATTCACAGGGCAGAGGGCAGGGACAATGCCAGGGACATCCAGCCCTCCCTGCACAAGGAGGAGCCACCTGTAATTACCAGATCATACATCATCAGCCTGTTCAAAGTGCAGTGTTCTTAGTGGGGACAAAATCCAGAGGTTGCTGCTTAAACACTGTGCCCAAGCCTGAAGAGCCTCTTTTCATACTGTTTCTAAAAATGGCCTTTCCCAAAACAGATGTTGGCAGCAAGATTCCCAGTTAGGTCTGTGAATACACCCCCCATCCACTGAATCCCTGTGCACCATTGTGCTCTGAATAAGCACTGGCAAAATGAGTTAATTAATTCAGAAACCTCCAGCTCTGACCAAGCAGGAGGAGTTTGCTGGCATGGATAGATTGCTGCCCTTGGCAGACACAGGCACTGCTGGAGGAACATGTCAGTGCAATCCCATGGTAGGAAAGATCACTGAGCTGCTGGATAACTGAGTTCATCGTGGTCTTGTGGAAAAAGGGAAGTAACTGGGAAACAGCCTTCCAGCATATGGCTTTCTGGAGAGTCTCCAGGGTTTTTGTCTCATCTGTGGGATAAACTGCACGCCTAGCTGATCTGTATTTATGATAAATAAACACTTATTTTCCAGACCCTCTCCACTTCTCCCTTCCCATTACATTGTTGGTCTTTGTGTCCTCCAGCTGGTGATTTGTTGGTTCTTCTCTCTTCAGATGCTGTTTGGTTCTTCAGGGCATCAAGCACTGGACAGTGGTGGGAAGAGAGGGCTGTGAAAACAACAGCAGTAGCAGGAAGTGTGGAGGGAAAGCAGGAGAATCTGTAGCTATGAACCCTGTCAGCCTTGTCTTTGGAAATGGAATTTGCCCCTTGGAATCATTTCTAAGGAGCAGTGGCTGTTCAGACAGAAATGCCACACTAGATTCCCTCTCTGTGTCTGGTTTACACCATGCAAACTGGTTTATAAGAATCCTTTCTCCTGCTCAGTGGGGCTCTGAGCAGCCCTGATATTTGTTTAGCTTATCTTTAAATTGCCAGATTAAGATGCAGGAACTGGATTTGGTTAACTGTTTGGATGCTGTGCTGGACAGCACAGCCTCCAGCTCTTTAAGCTACAGGAAGCCTGGCTGTGCTCAGAGGAGTTAAAAAGGTGAGCACAGGTGAGCATTTGAGAAGTTTTATCAACATCACCTAAAATTTCATTTTTGTTCAGATGCAGAAGAGGAACTGCAGTGACAGTTTAGATGGTCTTGAGAAGAACAAGGAGCTACCTCCTACATCCCTGCTAATGTATCATCAAGAATGGTGTGGCAGCAGGACAAGGGCAGTGCCTGTCTGTGCTGGGCACTGCTGAGGCCTCACCTCGAATCCTGAGGTCAGTTTTGGGCCCCTCAAAACAAGAGAGACATTGAAGGGCTGGAGCAGGTCCAGAGAGGGAACGGAGCTGGGAAGGGTCTGGAGCAGCAGGAGTGGCTGAGGGAGCTGGGGGGGCTCAGCCTGGAGAAAAGGAGGCTCAGGGGGGACCTTCTGGCTCTGCAACCCCCTGACAGGAGGAGGGAGCTGGGGGGGTGTCAGGGTCTGCTCCCAGAGAACAAGGGACAGGACAAGAGCAAACAGCCTCAAGTTGTGCCAGGGGAGGTTTAGGTTGGATACTGGGGGCATTTCTTCACTGACAGGGTGGTCAGGCACTGGCACAGGTGCCCAGGGCAGAGGTGGAGTCCCCATCCCTCGAGGGATTCAAAAGCCATGTGAATATGGCACCTGGGGACATGGGTTAGTGGTGGCCTTGGCAGTGCTGGGTTCATAGTTGGCCTTGAGGATCTTTGAGGGCTTTTCTGACCTAAACAATCCTGTGATTCTAACACAGACTGAAGGAATTTCAACCTTTGGTGATTCCTAAGCAGCACAGCAGGTGAGTGTGGTATCCAGCAAGCTGCTCACCTGTTAAAGTGCCTAAAAATAGCAGCAGTTGATACAGTGCCTGAGCTGGATGCTGGTTTGTAACCTTTGCTGCAGTGAGAAGCAGAGCGTGCTTGGTTGTGAGATGGTCATAAACTGATACATCTTTAACCTCCCCATCCTGGGAATCCTCCAGGAATTCCAGCAGCCCTCGAGGTGCTAATTTTTTTGCCATGAGAGATTTGTGATTAAAATATCAAATAAGATTTCTGTTCCTGGAGTGCACACCTGCCCTGTGTCCCTGTGCCCATCAGACACGGTGAGAGGTGGTGATGGTCCTGGGATACAAGAAGGAGCAGTAGCAGCAGGATAAGGAGGGTGCTTTGGCCCAAATCTCATACACACTTTATCACACTGCTTTGTCTAAGCTTCATCACTGCACACACCAGCAGGCTCTGGGTCCTCACCTCAGGCTCAGCCTTCCCTTTTGTTCTGCAAAGACTTGCAGGGAGGGCTGGTGTGAGGATGATGAGCCTGGCTGACAAAGCAGATCCTAGTGGGAAAGGGGGATGTACTGAAGTGCTGATAGGAACACAGGTGGAAGCTGGTCTTCTGTGATGACTCTGTGTCTGAAAGGGCAAAGAGGCTCTTTGGTGAAAAAAGCAGTGAAAAGGATGAGTTATTCCAAACATGATGGCAAAAGGGAGGTGTAGGAAGCTCACTAGAACCTGGTTTTTCACTTTCTGCACAACCTCAAAATATGCTGTGCAAGCAGAGGAGGCTTGTATGGATCTTGCATCAGAACTGCAGCACTGTTTGTGGTGGTGAAGCTGCAGTTGTGCTCTTCCAGCTCCTGGTCTCTCCCAGCTCCCGTGGTCTCCACTTGCACATTACATTACTCATCCTCAGAGGTGTTGTATCACCAAGCAGTTTCCATCTGGCCTGTGCTCTTCCTGCAGCCAGAGTGCCCCTGGTGTCTGCAGCATATTGTGGTGAACCCAGAGAATGCAGCATGTGGGAATGGTGCTGGGAAGAGCCCAGAATGGGCTAGTTGTGTCCTTCAGCATTTGCTCTACCAGGAAGGGAATTAGGGATCTCCAACCTGGAGGAATCTCACGGAGCTTGTTTCATGTCCTGGCTGTAAAGCAATGCTGAGCCCTGCCTGGTGTAGAAAACGGATCTATTGGGTTTGGTTTGTACTGGGATCTTATTAACTGCTGCCTGACTCCTTTTCTTGTGGTTGGTTTTTGGGGTTTGGGGGATTTTTTTGTTCATTTTTCTACAAATTAAACCTTGTGTGCTGACAAACTTGGTGATAAACAGCGTGGCCTCCTCTCCTGCTCTGCCCAGGCTCATCAGCTGTGGAGTCAAACCTATATCCTCCAGGGCAGAAGATGGAAAATATTTAACAGGCAGTGAAACCAGTTTGAAAGGACATTCCAGAGACCTCGTGCTTTTAAACTTGGACAGAATCCCTCTCACGTCTGGCTTGGGACCCTGAAACTGGACTGGCCATAAAGTGGTTCACGGGGCCAGACTGAAAACAGTTTTCTCTCGTCCAGACTTCCTGCTGAGCCCATCGAGAGTGTCTTGGGCAGGCTCCAGGTCTGTGATTTATGGACAAACCACAAGCCAGGAATCTGCAATCTAAGCTCCTTGAGCAGCAACTGCTAAAACATTATGGGAAGAAACGGCCACTGTTTCCAAAAGAAGAAAACTTGGGAGCCATTAATAATATTTAGCACTTCTGTGGTCCCTCACAATTGTTGATTAATCCTCCTGCTCTCCCTGTGAAGTGAGTCAGAATTATTCTTACTGTACAAATAAGGTCTGCATGGAGCTGAAATAAATTTCCTTTAAGAGACACAGTGAATCTGCATTAAGGACACAGTCCAAGACTCCAGAACCCCAGCACAAAGTGAAACAGAGGCATAAAGACAAGTACCTGCTGGGTTTGGATGAGGCAGTAAACATAAACTTAGAGCACCTTTGAGGGACTCTCTGCCTTTCATCAGAAGATTCTTTCCCAGGCAGTTCTGGGTCTGCCCAAACCTTATCCCTAGGTATAAAAATTCCTGGGATTTCAGAGAATCTCTGGAAGTTTGGCTGCTTACTGGAATTATCCAGCTGTTTGTCTCCCTTATTGTTTGGGAAGAAGAGGATGGCATACTAAATCTATCTTGCCACCTGCCCAGAACTGCTCACCTCCTGATGCTTCTGGAGTGGGTTAAACATGGCTTTTCCTTTTCTTTCATCAGCAGGAAGTTTTTCTTCCAGGAAAAAAAAAAAGTCATTTATTCTCCACCTGCTCTCAGAACCATCTTTTGTTTCTCCTTCACCTCCCCCTTTACACTTCACCTCCACCTTCTCTGGGACATTTTGTGACCAGTGCTGTGATTCAACACAGCCCAGGCTGGGAGGGAAGTTTCTCTGCCTGGACACTCATGTTCCCGTTCTCCCAGGACACAAAGGTGCTCGTTGTTGCTGGAGCTCCTTCTAGCAAGATTTCCATCTCAAATCACAAGGCCCTTCCCGTTGCACTCCTCCTGGAATCGGTCTGGCATGTGAACAGGTGGGAATGGGTGAAGTCTGCCATAAGTCCTGGCTGAAATGGAAGAGCTGGCAGGAGCACAAGGACCAAAAGCTTCGGTAATAAATTTGTAGGGGCTCCTGATGGTCTCATTGTTAATCTATTTACAGCAGCAGGAAGGATGAAAAATTGGGGAAAAAGTTTCCCCCGCTTTTTAAATGTGAGTGGCAAAAGGTGTTGTAATGAATTGTCCATTAAATATCCATCCAGTGTTATTCCAAATGTCACGACATGACCTGCAGGGGATTTGGGATCAGTTAACAAAGGAGTCTGAGGAGCCAAGCAAAGCTTGTTCTCCTTTTGCAACCCAAGAAAACAAGAGGTAACTGGGTCTAAAACCCAGACCAGAAGTAAATCAGCAAGTCAATCCTTCATGGAACTGTCCCACATTAAATCCTTAGAAAATCAAGAAGTTGGAGCTGTGTCAGGAGATAGAGGGAGATTCAACTGGAGTTTTGTCTCACTGATGCATCTTGATTACTGGA